TGATAAAATGAGAAAGTATTTGTCTGTCCTCACCGCTACCACTTTAACCGCTGTAGGTGTTCCTTGTTTTATATCCGAGAATTCACAACACAGTGATCTCAAGTTGTGAGTTTCCTTGAGGTGGTAGATCACCTTGTGGAGTTGGCTGGTCACTCTGTGAGGTAACCCAAGATGTCCTCTGTCTGTAGACAAGTGACACCTCACTTGGGGTATTTGACAAACTGACACTCACGGATACAGAGTGTCCAACTCAGCTTGTCAAATACACTAAGTGGGGGGCCTGATCTCTCGCACGATCAAAGATGGATGACACTGGTATCTCTCAAGCCAGACACAAAACCTAAAACAGATGTATATACCATGGACATATTTATCTTTTACATCAAAATATGTATGTTTCTGCTCAGCATTATTAAAAGTTTGATGCAATCTGTCACCTGTTGAAGCAGATGAGTCCGAGCGTGCTGCTCTTCTTTCTTCTCACAAGAGTTCACAATGATGACACTGCACACAAGACAGTTCATTTGACCACTGAGCTTCAGCACTGCAAAGAGGAAGTCAAAACAAGGAAGATAACTGCAAAGCTAGCTCTCAGGAAATATGTGGAAATAAAGTGTCAACATGTCATGGTTGTGAAATGCTGTTGAAGGTTTCTGTGCCTCACAGCTTTTGAGATAATGGTTTGCTGAGACATATTCATCAGTTTTTCTTACCTTTTGTGGCGTTCATGTGTTCTAACTGCTGTGTACAGAATATACTTACGGAACTGTAAGCATATAGATTTATAATAATGAAAATCAGGGAAGTGGCAACCTCCCATATGAGATTTAATCAGCTACAATGGTGTGTAGATGGTAGTTTAAAGGTGCACTTAAGAATAGTCTTAATAGATCAAACTAGTAGCATCATCTGCTTTACTATTCTACATCAGACTATTCTCATGACACTGTCTCCATTCATGACAATGTCAGCAGTTTTCTGTAATTTTGGAACATGCGTCCTCCTGCTCTGTTAACTGTCGCCTGTCCTGCTCTAAGAACAAGCAACAGTGTTTATCTGCACTTCTGATTGGTGGGCCATCTGTCAGCCAGGAAAAGGAAAAGAAATGTGTTCTTCTAAAAGTGTTTCTGTGCTATTGGACATCATTTTACTTTGACACAGAGCATCACCCAGTACTCAGCCCCTGCAATGATTTCATAATGTCTGGACTCCTCAAAGAGTTATTACTGTCACTTTTTATTACTAGTATTAAAGATTACCCACCTCCCCTTTTTTTAAATGTAACAACCAGAAGGTTTTATGCACAGTGCTGTGTAACTTCCTCGGTGGACCAGTGCACCATGATTCGCGCCCTTGACTTCCCTCTATGGCTACAACCATACTGTATGCTGAACTTCCTTAATTTACAAAGTGACTGTGAACACTGAATTTATCAGAACATTCTAATAATTTGTGTTCTTTGCAGCAGGAAACATCAACGGCAAAGGGATACAGAAAAAAAAAGGTTGATAACAGTGAGATGATTGATTCTGGATAGCAGCTCCCATCACAGATATGGTGGTGAGTGCTCAATGGAAAGTCTTTAGTCTCCATATAAACACCATGCAGAAGCTCCTATGATGCATCTGCACCCTGAAAGAATTCTAGAATACATGAACTAGCCCTGAACTATTCTTAATAGACTTAGTATGAGAAGGCACTGAGTTTTGATATGAGGGATCATTGATCACATGATTTAAATGTGCACAGAGACAGAGTGGTGGAAACATTAACACTGTTACAAAGTGACCGTGACTAGAAGATACCTCTAGCTCATCATAATCCTCTGTCTTATTTAATCGAGCATTTTTTATTACTGAATGCAGAATTTGTTCTTGAAGCTTTAAAGCTGCAAATAAAATGGCTTTAGCAGTTTCCTGCTGTTTAAGACACTTATTCATGCTCCACCCCAGACTGTACAGTGTACAAGCAAAGAGAGTTGCTTACAGTCATCCTGACTCAAAACATATACCATGAGTGGCAGTTCAGTAAGAAGCATTTCAACACCGTTTTTAGGCTACTAATACCACACATATAGGGGAAGTTGGGGTTGAGAAAGAGATGGTTGATTTCCATCAAGTAGTTCGACAAGAGTTAACTGAATTTCCTATTGCACTGAACATTCTTACAACTTCCTTATTTAGTGAAATATTTAGCTATCACATGTAGGAGATTAATGCAAATAATCATTATAATCAGTTGTTTTTCATTTAGCCTAGTAATAAGATGGAAACTCTGGTGGCAGGAGCTTGTGGCTGTGGAAAGATGCACTTTTTTGAAATAAGAGTGAGATATGCTGTCTGCACTGTGCACCTGGATTCACGGGGTTTCAACTGCAAATCAAATATAAACTTTCTTATTTACTTGCCTGTCAGTCACTGTACGGATTTATTAAATATTTGAGTCTTGAGTCTAAACCTAAATGTTCCAAGCAGGAGTTGATAAATGCAACAAATACGTGACTTGTTTTCTGAGAGGGAAAACAAACTCTAGGAGATAATTCACTGTTTATCATTTTTAAATGTTTGCAGATAATAAATATAATTTACTGAACCATTTCCAATACATGGTGAGGGTCTGACTGGCTTTGTGTGTCTTATATTTCAATGGTTATTTTCTTGGTGAATGAGATTGTTATAGTTTTAGACTCTGTTCTGAGTTTGCTTTGATAAATTAGAAAAAAATCTGTGGTGGAAGAGGTACTCACATCCTTTATTTAAGTAAAAGTAGCAACACAACAGTGTAATAATACACTCATACAACTAAAAGTCCTGCATTCAAAATGTTACTTAAGTAAAAGTACAAAAGTATTAGCATCAATACATACTTAAAGTACTAAAAGTATTCATTTTTCACAGCTCACATTCCTGCATATCATATCATTGTATTATCATTACTGATGCATTATTGTGAACATCACATTTAAAAGATAAAGGAGCTAGTTTTAACTGGCTTATATGCATTTAATTTGAATTACTGCTGGGTAGCTTGTGAATTTTCCACCTTAGGCCAATGATGTATTTTTTGTATAAATCTGGTTCTGAAAAGTAACGACATTTCTAAAATAAATGTAGTGGAGAAAAAAGTACAATGTAGTGAAGTCAAAGTATGAAGTAACAGAACATGGCTACCTCAAAATTCTACTTAAGTACACACTGGAGAATGAAGGCAAACTGCCATCATGTGGTCCAGTGCAGGACTGCAACTAGAAGTACAGCAGGTATGATGACTTGGATTTAAGCTTGATGGCTGTAGAGTCAAATTTAGATTTGATTCAGTAATATAGAGTTAAGGCATTTTTCCTGCAATGCCAAAAATAAACCTAAAAAAAATATGGAATATAAGGAGACACCGGAAACTGGTTTCATACTTTTGTTATCACAAAAATAGTATGTTATAGTAATAATGGTTGGAGTAATAGTAGTAAAAAATACAGGAAAACAGAAAACTACTTAATCTTTTAATCATTGGTGAAAGGAAGACTTTAAGGCCTGATGAATAACCTGGGCAAGGCAATTTGTCCCTTACAGTACTCACGTTTAAATTATTTTTGATTCCAGACAACATATCGAGTAGCGTCTTTCAATAAACTTTGTTTTTCCACACATGATGACTTCAATAAAACTTGATTCTTAAAAAACGGCTGTCAGCACACGGTGCTTTTGGGAGAACACAGCATTATCAGAGTTACTGTCAAGGCATGCAAATCATCCAAAATAGCAACAACTGCTTTTTATTTATTGATTTTTTTTTATTTTATGGCAAATGCAAGAACTATATGCAGCAATGGGCAAAAATACTGAATATCAAAATGCATCTTTTGACAGATGTTCATTCAATAACAGGCATCACAATAAAATAGGAAATAGCACTAAAATACATTTACTTTCAAAATGGTGTAAATAAATCTTTCAAACACTAATTTCTAAAAATCTCTGAACAAGCGAAACCCTTTGCATGTCTGAATACCAAAATATAAACTGGACCAATGACACATGGTAGCATGCTTGCTCATTTATATGCAGAATGTTTTGTAATTAAATGTCCACGTTTCGATGTTCATGGCAGGCTTTGGCGTTTTGTTTACTAGCATATCAGTGAGCTTCTCAGTTACTTAACCAAGAACTATTTTCAGATTGCTTTTCATTTTGAATAAAAACCATCATCTTTGACAAGAACTTCCAATTTTTTATATGAAAATATCCTCATTTATGTTCATACTTGCACCTTGTATAATTTTATCACATCTGAAAAATCCCAGTTACAGAATACACAAATGTAATTAAATACATATAGTATATCAAAAAAATGCATGCAGTGGAATTACTGCCAATATAGGCTAATAAGTGTTTTTACTACGTTTTCAAAGTAAAACTGTGGTTTTCCAGTGCATTTTTATGAATCTATTTTATACATCTGATTCTATGAAGTATTTGTAGAGAAAAAGCTCTCTTCTGTAAAGCAAACACGTTTAGAGCATGTTTAGATTAAACTACAACTTTCACATTTTACAGTGGCATTTGTTCCTCCACAAAAGCCAACTACATGTGACAATTAGTGCAAATCTCTATGCTCTACTGGTTATATTAATGCAGAAAAAAGTGTATTTTGGTTATGAAACATCAACTGTCGAGTGATAAAACTCTTAAAGGTACAGTAAAATTTACTTTGAATGCCCAACTCAATGTTGAATTAATGATTCCTATACAGTTTTTGAAAATGCAACAACTGATCTATAAGTGCACTGTTTAAATAATTGTTTCAAAATGTATACATGGCAAACTCACACAATGTAAACATGGTTTCTTAATGCCATATATATGTTTAATTATGTGTACAATTCAGCATTTCTCTCTTCAGATTCCAAATGAAATTCATCTGCTTGAGCTTAAACAGCTAAATTTACACTGTAATTTCAAACTGACACAAAACGTATTCAGAAATGTAAAAACAGCCAAAGATTTAAGTCAAATTGTTCTTTAATCACATTGAGTGGAGTGTAAATACTGTATGATTGGCAACAGTTGACAGATCGAGTATGGTCAAATGAAAAGTAAAATTTACACAAAAACATCTCTATTTATGCTACACCCAGACATTTCAGTCATATTGTAGATTATAGTGCATTTGGTTTTAAATTTATATGCAATGCATCATGGGAGAGCTAATACTGTGTGAATTGCATGTATACAGCAGAGAAATGTCTACAGGCAAAACTGAAATTAGGCTTGGTCTCCATGTCCTTTAATTTTAAATCATGATTCAATAATGTGACAAATGTAGAGAGAAATCAGAAGTGCTTCCATAATGTGTCATGGAATGCAGTGTGAGCCCATTACTAAAATGCTACATAAACCCCTTGTGAGGAATGTACTAATAAAATACAGTATGTCCCTTTTTGACCAGTGACTTGCCTAAATTCAAAGTTAGGAATGACAAATGGAATTTTCCAGACCTATATTTGTACATTTTGCTGTGTTTGTGCAGCCATGTCAGGTTGTGGATCCGATTTATTTGCATACAGAGAAAACGTAAGTGAGAGAAAAAGTGAGGCAGGACTGCAGTCCAAGCAGAATGACCCAGGTCTGCGGGCTTTTGCATTGGTGAATGCATGCATCACATGCATTCAAACTCATCAATGCGCTGTTTGGTGTTTCCTGACCGGATCTGTCTGAGGGTCTTGTACTTGTCTCGTCCAGCTTTCATGTTCTCTGCGTGGATCATGTCATTCACCGTTTTCTTGCTCTCATCCCGAGCGTTGGCCAACTCAGAGCTTAAAGCCTGGAAATACAGTCATCACAGTATTAATACATCTCACACAGCTATGCTATTAGTTAGACTCTCTGATCACTGTATGGTCCATCTTACTCCAACCTACAGGTAGAAACTTAAAGCTGCAAAGCCTGTGGTCAAAACAGTGAAGCGCTGGACTGAGGAGGCTAAGTCAGAGCTACAGGCCTGCTTTGACTGCACAGACTGGAGTGTATTTGAGACCGCAGCTACAGACCTGGATGAACTCACTGACAATGTGACATCTTATATCAGCTTCTGTGAGGATGTGTGTGTGCCCAAAAAGACCTTCTGCACATACAACAACAAGCCCTGGTTTACAGCAAGACTCAAGCAGCGTCCTGAGTGACCTGCTTAAAACTCCTGTGTACATTTCTGTTTAGATTTTACATTTTGTATTGTTTATAATAGAAAGTGCACAAGTGAAATTAATATTTATGATACTTACTGATAGCAGGTATAAACCCTGAAATAAAAAAAAAAGTATCAGTTATTTTTTAAGAAGTTCTAAAGGATTAATGAGTTTCACTATTAGACATATAATAACTGATTGTATATCAAATATTTGCACTTTATAAACTCTGTGTTACCAGAAGAACCAGACATAAAGTCAGTTATAAAAACATTAAAACCAAACCACAGCACAGATGTGTGTGAGATACATCTGTGGAGTAAAAATGTGATTTATGATGAGAAAAACATCTTTTGTTCTTCACCAATGTTGTTGTTATGTCGTCTTCTCCAGAAGATGACTCCAGCGATGTAGAGTCCCAGGAGGACGAACAGTCCTACAACAGCTCCAATAACAGC